TGTCGGCATATACGCCACTCCCATGGGCTTCAAGCGAGGGCAAGACGCTAATAGCGGGTGCTGTTACCGAACATGGGAGTTGTAGCTTACGTGCTTTCATGGCATGGTAAGATTGCCATCATAAAGTACCCACAGGCTGGGTGTAGTACGATTACTAATAATAATATCCTGCTTTTTGACATGAGTATTATCCACTGGCGGTCGCAGGGGGGGGCCACGGGGGCCATGGCCCCCCCTTTGGTGCTGAAAGGTGGGGCCATACTATCTCTTGGCCCCACCTTTCAGATCGAACAAAAGTCCTAGAAAAGCTTTTCGTATGTTTCATTTTCTTTCTTGCGTCATCAAAGGACGTAAATTTCACTCATGAGTGGGCTCAGTTTCGCATTCTGTCAATTTGGCGGTCAGCGTCGCTGGCACCGGTTCACGAGTATGGCCGGATCTTATATGGAATATCAGCGTGGGTTTACTTAAGGCTCTCGTAGGCCCAGCATTCAGCAATGGCTGGCATGAGACCCTCTTCGGCAGTGGCGGGTGGGCCCTGCTAAAGGAGATTGGCTCCAAGACACTAAAGTAAGACCTCAAGGGTTGGTGCTGTGCACCTCAGAAACCCGGTGGTGATGCCGTATGCCGGATTGGTTTCTTAAGGATTTGCGTGGGACCTTCGGGGCCTGCCTGCATAGAGTTTGCATGAGCTAGTATGTAATCTCAGAGGCATGTGTGTAATGTGTACACAGTGGCGGTCGCGGGGGGCCGGGGGGGGGGGCATCAGGGCCATGCCCCCAAAGGTCAATAAAGGGGGCCATCATATCATTTGACCCCCCCCCCCCTCAAACAACCAATGGGCCCCCGTATAGGTGTATGGGGCCCTGGCAATTATTCGATCGTCACGAGGCTAAAAAAAAAACCACGCCAAGCTATTAATATAGCTCCCACGCCGGTCTTTGAGCGTCCTACACTGACCTTTGAGGGAACTTCAGTGGCGGTCAAGCGCCCACGTTGACCGCTAAAGAGCCTACATCAACCTCTGAGGCCCCACATCTGGCCTATGAGGGCCCCTAACCGGCCTCAGGGGTCCCAACCGGCGTCTGAGGGTCTCACACCGGTCTCTGGTGGCCTTATTTCTGTCTCTGGTGTCCCAAGATGAACCTTTAGGTGCCAATAAGGGCCCCGCACTGGCTGCTGAAGACCCGATGCCGGCCTCTAAGGGTCTGCATTGGCCTCTGAAGAGGGCCCATCTTCTGAGGGCCCTAAACTGGCCTCTACATGAAAACATACATGGGTGGGTTTTCGAAGATCAGAGGGCTCACGCAGTCTCCGGCACAGCCTTACGTTGGTCCTGATCGAGATTGCTTATTTAAGCAATCTCGACCATCAGGACGAGATTGGACCATCAGGACGTAAAGCAATTTAAATTGCTTTACGTCCTGATGGTCCCGCGGTGATTCCCTCATATTTCGACGTCGGGTCCCCATGAGCCGGTGTGGGTCCTGGGGCTGGCAGAGACTGATGAAGTCCTTAGGGCTCAGGGCCAGTCTTTTTAGCAGTAGGACTAGGCAGGTTGAGTGAGCCCCAATAGAGCCGTTGCGAAGCCCCGCAGAAGTCGCGCGCGGCCCTCAGCTGCCAATTCTGAAAGCTCGGAACCTGTGGGGTGGGGGTCTCCAGAGGTCGGTGTACCTACTCTCTCCCGCCGCCACACAACTAGGTACCTATATGGGTAAATGTCATAGTCTAAAAATGCTCTCTGGGTTTCACATGCTTGTTCAAAGCAAGAGGTATCTGTACTTTTTAGCAAGAGGTACCTACCTATCTGTACTTTTCCGAATTGTTTTATAGTGGTAAGGTCATGAATCCGCATGCCTGACCTTCCAGTATACCTATGCTACACCGATCCGTCGTCATGGTGCAGCGGCCCGACCGGTGGGCACACCGTGAGACGGTAAATGGAACTGGTGATTTTGCCTTAAATTGAGCTCAAAGATTTCACGCAAGAATGAGATGGATGAAGCATAAGTAATGCCAACTGTGCGGCGCCTCGTGGACGTAAAAAATTAGCCGATCACCCCCCCCCCCCCCTCCCGGCGACGGATAAATGTTATGTCCCGCGAGTGTGACTTTGGCCCCCCCTTTTGCTAGCGGCTGCGACCGCCAGTGGTATTATCTAATATTATTCATTGTATTTTGTCCCAATGAGTACAATGACCTATTTGCAACTTAACACGCCGCTCCCCAAAAAGCTGTTGCGTCACCGAAACCATTAGTCACACTTTGGCTTGTGTCGCGGGGAACCGGGGCCTCGCTGAGTGCCAATTAAAGCCAGATAAACAAACTAAACGGTCCACCTGACGCCACCGTCTTCTGGCCTGGACTCTGGCTGATGGCCAATGTCGGCTACGCCGAATTAGTAAGTGACGCGGCGATATTAGCTTATATAGGTATTGCTGTGGGATTCAATAAAGATATTTTATAATTTTGTGAACGTATAATTCTATCAATTACACAGGTCAATTACAATTTTCCTAACAGCAATTAATGATATGTTATGTTAAAGATAGCAGATTATAAATGGTGCATTAAGCATAGGGAATACAATTAATTTGAAAAGAAACGTTACTTCGATTTCATCGTCACTATTCGGTAGCAGTAATACAAAAATCATTTTAAGATACGCATATGCTATCTTACTCATGTGATCTAAGCCATGCGTATTGCATATTGCATAACACTGCGCCCAATTCATGCACGTCATCTCGGCGCGGGGCGACCGGCCGGGCGGGGTGCGATTTGGCGGCCGGGGCGCGGCCGCGGACGTCCGACAAATTGGCCCAGTTCACGGGCCGCCTGAGCTGGTCTGCCGACCTCTGACCCCGTTCCCCGGGCCACGGCAGAATGCCGCGGCAGGTGAGACCCGTGTTTACACAGCAGCGCTCCACTGCAGGCCGCGCGGCTCTGCCGCGGCAGCCCGGGCGGCGGCGGCGGTGACGGGAGCGTTGCAGTGAACGTGCCACCGAGTTGGGCGGAGGCCAGGACGACTGTCAGCCACTCGTCACAGCTGCAGCGAGATACGGCACACGACGGCACAGTTCCCCACTGAGCGATGGCGGAATGGGACAGCAGGTTTTCGCCAGCGTGTCCTGACCCTCTGTCCGGTGGGAGAGGAGGGGAGGGGAGAGGAGAGCTCGACCTTCAGTTTGGCATGCCAACTGGCAATCGAGGGCCACCGGCTGGTCTCTGAGCAGGAATGGGGGTGACGGGAGCCGGCCGCTGGTCTCTGGACCGGAATGGGGTGACACAACAGCTCGCGGGTGCAGAGATCGGACCGGGTATGTATGGACGGCATACCGGAAGGACGGCACAGCTCCATGATGCCGCATCGCACGAGCACAGTCGACAGAGCTGTGTCAGTAGGTTTAGAGTAGTTTAGACGTTTCGATGTCTGCTTACCGTCTTCATGTTGGATGCATTCGACCATCATTCGACGGTACTGGCACATGTTAGCTAATTTTGCTTGATTATCTGCATCTTTTATGGCAAGTCATTATTGCAAGCTAAAGATGAAAAGATGTGAAGTTTTACCGGGCTTCGGTACCTACTTATCACATTTAACTCAGCGTAATTAAGCCGTCGACGGGTACAAAATATGCATGCTCTTACGATTAGTGACTCCATTACAAGTGGCCTGCGCGACAAGCATGCACAATAATTTCAGTCGACTTCAAAAGCTGCGGCGCGCGATACTTCACCCAGTGATCCAAGAAAAACACCAACGGGTTACAGACGATTCTGCTCAGACGCTCGTGTTTATTTAAATCCATTAATTGCTCAATTAATTATGACTAATTGATGTAGATTTGAAGGATGACAGACTTCGGGAAAATTCGGCGGAATGTTCCGGCTCCGTGCCTGTCGGGACCACCCAGCGTGTTCACTGAGGCATGTCGGCAAACAATTTCAGCGTTTAGTCCGAACATCGCACACGGTTAAGAGTTAGTGAATAAATGTAAGGGTGCCGATCTGAGCAGACATGAAAACTCCGCCACTATGTTGATCATGATAAGCCGGTTCTGTTAGCCCCGGCGAATGTCCGTAGATCGGTGAGATGCGAGCTCGAGCGGAGGTGGCTCCGATGTCAGACATGAAGAGCCCAGGGGTGCCGTCCGCCACCGCCGCCCACGCAACCGGAACACCCACACACATCACACCAAGGTGTGAGGTCTGCCCGGTCTCCAGGGACGGGAACTGTCGGTTTCAGACGCACTACGCATGGGATGCGGCCGAAGAGAGTTTGGACTCGGGACTCATGAATCCTTAGTGGTCAGGCAAGGGAAGCGATTTTGAATCAAAATCACTTTTAGAATCAGGGCCGGTGTCGGGGGTCGTGAGACTCGATCAAATTGATCAACGAGGGTGCGTGTGGGATGTGGGGTGGAAGGCCACATGTGCTATACATGTGACCTTCCTGCCTTGCTCCAAGGACCCTGACGAAGACGCAAATCCTGCGCCGGTATACGGTACGCTTTACCGTCTCCATGCTCCACAACACAACTGCATAACGCATCCGTAACAAATCAGCTGGGTCGCCCAGCGCACCTCCATCCCCAGACACCCGTGATCGCCCATTCACCGAGGACACTAACTTCGCTCTCACACCCTCTGCAGAGGCGGTAACAGAAGCCTGGTCTTTTGTCTGAACTAGGTCGATCCTATATGAGATACGAGGATATATAGACGAATGTCAGAGATAAAAAGGCCCAGAATCCCCTGTGAATTGTGAATCGGAAATCCAGGTCCTGCGTGCAACTATGCAAACAAATCTGCAATGCCTTTTTTAAACGTTATGGTTTAGTTTATGCATGCATAAGCTAAAATAGAATTATTTACGCATGTTTGACGTTTGCTTGCTTTTAAAAGGCGAAAAAATAGCTCAATTATCATAAGTGCATGTGACCATGGATATACCCTGTTACACCGTGCTTATCCGATGCTCTCCCGTCTGTTCACAGGTCACTGTGGCGCTGCTTCTATCGCTGGCGATATATCCGTCAGCACCGGCCTCCAACACCGACCTCAGCCAGGGCAACCTAGAGGTCGAGAGCGATGACCCAGGTGACCTGGAGGTCAGTTTCGGCGAGCCCACTGCAGGACAGGAGAGACTCTTACGAGCCGCCTCAGCTAGTCAGAAGAAGCTGCAGCCGAAGCACGTGCTGCCCATCAACAAACAAGTGTCCGCCTTCCTCCCGGCCGGCACATACAAGAGGTAAGCTGCAGTGGGCTCCGCAGGACTGTGGGGATGGGGTCGCCCCGGAACGGTAGGGACGTTAGAGTTGCTATAGGGACGTGTGGATCACCATGGGATAGCGTTGTGGGGAAGATGGACGGGGCTGGGATAGTGAAAGGATGCGAGATGAGAGCGAACACGTCGGGAGTTATACAATGTGACGGTACGAACGTCACAGGCACAGGTGGATAAGGGGCGGGCTAATTGAGGCGTCTGAAATAAAATAACTTAGTGAAGAAGCAATCAATGTTTATTGATGTTAGGTAATAGGTATGTCATACGCAACACGGAGGCTGAGATTTATATCTCGTTTATTTGAACGGTGACATCTCGTCCATCATGCCCTTCGGTGCATTTGAATGAACACTGAATGACGTTTTGTTTTTGCACGTTATAGGTTTTTGTATCGTCAGAGTCGGGACGGAGTGGCCATTTCGCTAGTGGTGACGCCGTGCTCCGCCTCTCTGAGAGGGCAGATCACATTTCAGCCGGATAAAATCAGAGGTGAGCCATGAATCAACCCCATAAAGTTTGGACAAAGCGAGAGGTGTTTTCGCTACCTGAGTGGCCTTTACTCGAGTTACCGGCAGCAATGACTACACTTCGCTATTCGCTGAATAATGGAAACGTTCATAAATAGTGTTGCGCCTGGCCGAAATCGTTATTCTGCGTTTGTTCATCTACATTATCTTCTTGAATGGTATTGGACATTGGTATGGCCTTCCAGTTGGTCGTTGCTGATGTCATCCTGCACTGGGGGAAGGGAAGCGATTTGCAAGATGCATCCCCGTCGCTTCATTTTCCTGTCTCGGACCGCCCGGGCTCAGCCGATCACGTGCCTTTGCATAGGGCGGGACGCGTATTTGTCAGAACTTGACGGGTGCATTGAGCTCGGACAGTCTCACGAATGCACACCCAGAGAGCATCACGGGGCGAGAAAGTCGTGATGGGGGTGGACATATGGGAAGGGAGAGGGCAGAGGGCGGCACAACCCGTCAGAAGCGGCGGTGGGCGGACTCGACCACGGCGCCGCCCACAATCAGCTCGGGCGGGGGAGGCGGAGGTTACCGCCGGACCGCCGGTGTCGGCACACAGACTAACGAGGCCGTTTGTTATATTGGCGGCGGGTGCAGTTGGCAACTGGAGAAGCAGCGGGATAGATAAACTCAGCGGGTGATGGAGAGGGGTCAGCCACCGGATAATGAACTTGATGCATGACGTGCGATCAATGGCCATCTATCAACGGGTGTTAACGTATGGCGGGTAATATTTCAACAAGTGGCAATAGTCATGGCCCGAGGAAAGTTACATAGGCGGCGGAACGGGGAGGGAGAGGCACCGGGGCACCGTGCCTCCCTTTGATTTTGGCATTTTACCATTAGCCCTATGGGTGTTGCATGGAAAGAATGGGATCAAAAGTCGGCAGTGCTCCCCCCCCCATTATTGAAGGTGTTCCGCCGCCACTGGAAAGTTATGCAAAACATTTCATTCATATCAATTTATGTCATTTGCCATAACAATGGACAGCAATGTAATTGAGCTAAAAACACGTAAATAAACTACAACAGGAAAGAGTAAAATGATCGTCATTCTATGATCACCCCTCATATGCCTACTCTTCAACGTCCATATGCCGACCATAACCAAAGTCACATACCCCTATCGCTAACTGCGACGTCTCTCCCTCCCCATCCCTTTCCGACAGAGGGCGGTAAGCGGGAAGTGCTGCGGACAATCAACGGCCCGGACCAGGTCATCTACTCGGCGCGGCGCGGCCTGACGGGCGACTACGACGTCAACATCTCGTCCAGCGCTGACACCTACGTCCACTTTCTGGCAACGGATGAGGACCTGGCCGGGCTCGGTAACCACCGGGACAATAATATAAAATCATAACCAACGGGACAACCATATAGTCGTTAGCAACCGGGGAAACCATGAATTGTCATAACCACCGGAACAATGGGGCAAACGTCAGAGGGACGCTTGTAACGCCAATGTTTACCGAGTTCGGTGTGCTTGTGTATGTTTGGGGAGGTTTGTGTGTCTGTGGATGGAAACGTTTATACAGACGGGACTTTTAAATCGCAGACATTCGTCAAGCTCAGCGTGTCAGTCCCATGATAAACGTACTAAAACACACGCCCCAAGACGGTTTGTTTTCTGTAACGAGACCTTATATCCTTCTGACGTGCGCCGTACCGTCTGCTTTGTGCAGGCAGCCTGCGTACCAAGGTACAGGTGCGCAGTCGCAGCAAGAGTCGCGCGGAGATCAGCTGGTCGCCCGGCTCACACGGAGGCCAGGCGCTCAGCTACTGTCTCATCACATCACCGACGCAGCACTTCAGGTGCGACCGCAGTGCGAGCAGACCGGTGGATAAGACGAGAAGCCGACTGTAATGAAAGGAGGCAGCCTGCATCCGATTGTTGCACTCCAGTTACATATACCTATAGATAAATAACATTGAATTACCAGTTGATAATGTCTGTTTTATGGGAAACGGCCGTTTTATTTGGTTGTGTCCCAACGTCGTAACGTTGATCCGTTTATTAGGAAAAGTTATTGTCTACTAGCAGTGTCCATCATGCTCCTTCGACTTATTTCTGGTTTGTGCTCATTTGGCTGCCGGCCGGGTATAACTCGTTCCCTTCCCCTCCAGTTCTGTGTGCGGTGGTCTGAGCGCCAAGTTCGGCCTGCAGCCGCCGGAGAGCGGAGCGGCTCGCCGGAGACGGCAGCAGGGGGCGTCACCGCCGCGCCGCCAGGGACCCGAGCCCAACGACAGCATCACGGTCGGCTGCGTGGGAAAGACGACCGTGTACACGCTGTACGACCTGCTGCCCGGCCGGAAGTACTTTGTGACCGTGTTCGGACAGTACGCCAACCGGAGCGTCAGCTTCCAGTACGGCACGGCTGAGTTCAGGTGAGGCCGGCCGGGAGCGAACGGCTCTCTTATGGTGGGTCGGTGGAGGGAGGTATTGCACAGAGACGCCGTGTCGTGTGCTGCATTCTTTTCCGCTGGTTGATTCATTCCAACCGGTCTGTCAAGCCAGCTTAACCACCTAACCCAACTCAGACCTAGCCTGACCGGAAACTGACGAGCAAACCTGACACCGAACTGACATGACAGAAGTCTGACTCGACCCTATAACCTGCCTGGAGCCGTAATTTAGCCCCATCCTGCCCTGATCTGACCTTACCTCGGCCCGTGCTCTTCGCCTGACCTGACTTGCCTGAGCCCTGACCCTGACCCTGACCTGACCTCAACCTCTTACCGTTTTTCGTCTGATCTCCAGGTACCAGGACCGCTCGGAGCGCACCTCAATGCGGATCCGGCAAAACCGTGTGACCAAGCTGCGCCTGTCCCCGTGGCGACCGTTCAGAATTCTGGAGCTGCGCGTACCGGCCAAGTACGAGCGACTACACTACTTCGTGGTGCCGTGCGGCGGCCCGCTCTCGCTGCAAGTGAACCGCACCTACAACAGTCCCGGGGTCTCGGACGAATCGGTCCGAATTCAGGCGAGTGCAGGGGCGAACCGTTCAGCGCTGACGAGTCCACTGCTTTGCTGGTCTGAATAGAGCATGCTGTATGGATTTGATCTGAAGGTCCTGGTGAGGGACCTTCGGAGGCAGACTGTCAGACTGCATCAGATCGTCCTGAGTCAGACTGTCCTGTCCGACTCTGCCCATGTGTCTGCTAAATTCCGTCCCACCTCAGAGGAGATAGAGACCGGAGCTCCGATCTCAGTCCGATCAAAGGTGATTATCTGTCCGAAGACCTACCCCTAGTCACAGTTGCACCACTGCCAACAGGCTGATCCACTGTCTAACGCTCCCCTCTCTCCCCGCCGACAGGAGGTCAACATCAGCAGCGACGTGCTGATCCGGAGCGACCTCAACAGCAGCCGCCTGACGGTCGGTAACGTCAGGTACCAGTTCAACCTGACGGCACCAGGCGGCGCCACCACCGTCGAGTTCCAGGCCACTTGGAGGCGCGGTCGACTGCGCGTGGCCTCCCTGCCGGGCCGGCCGCGGGTGCGGGCCGCAGGACCGCGCCGGAGGGCTCGGCTCGGCCTCAACTGCTCTCAGCTGGCCCTGCGTGTGAGTGAGGATTCTCACTGGCCTCACAGTTAGAGCCAGAATGAGGCTTTTCACCGGTCTTAGAGAATCAGAGCCGGAGAACATAGGGGTCGTAAAGTAACGGTACATTCCATCAAACGAGCCACTCCGACGTAAATGGCTCCAATTGAACGGGAGCCGTCAGAGTCTCAGATGTGTTACGATTTCGGAATTGGTCGATAGGGTATTATTCTCTACAGCATTTTGACAATTCGTTCGCCTGCTTGGAGTACCTAGACGAAATACGAATACATGGATACAGGATATTTCAACGGCATTGCCAGGTAATGACATAATCAGAACTAATGAATCGTAATCACAACTTACCATTGCATGCGATGGCATTCCGGCATCTTTCTAGACTGTCATCATCAGTCTCCACCGAAACTCAGACCATCCCAGCACCGTCTCTATCCCGCGTCTCCACCCTTTCAGATGCCTCGGGCGCGGGGCCGGCGGCTCGAATACTGCGTGCTGTTGGAGCTGGACACGACGGGCCGGACCGGCCGGCGCTTCAAGGCGCCCTCAGCGTGCGGTCTCGAACTGCGGCACGCGCACCATCCGGCCAACATGACCCGCTGCGGCTCCAGCAAACAGCTGCGCAGGAGGTCAGTGGGGGGTGGGGGGGGGGGGGAGAGCAGAGAGTGTAACGGGACGTGGGGAAGGGGTCGATTAATGTGGAGAAGGGGAGCATTGGGTTCTCAGGGGAAGCAATGAAGCTCAGGGCAGGGCAATACGGCATCAGGTCGACAAAGGACAACAGTCTCGTTTTTAGAAGATATACCTATCGATGCATAATCAGAGCAAGCATAATGCACACAAAGATAGAGAAAACCGTTTTTACATGCTTTATAGCTTCATAACCCTCATTGTCACGAGAAGAAACCGTCGGACGCTGGGACATCGCATGCTGTAAGATATTCAGCCATTGTCGACCTTAATGTTCGATACTGCGCCGTTCCTATGTATATTGTATGGATAATGATATGGAGGTGAGTGGAGAGGGGTTGTGTCACCACGTCCTCGTCGACCCGCTGGGTGGCTCACAAACATATACCTACCGACTTCATACGATATATGTTTGAGAACACGACAGTCGGTACAATGGAGGGCAGGAGGGCAGCACGGTGGGGTGGATCGTGCTGCGCTCCTCCCTCCGTTCGTCATGTCCAGTGTGCACACCCGACCTCTGCATGACCGGCAGTTGAGGCCCCGTCTCGCGCCCCGATGGCCCGCTGCACACCACGTCCGTAAATTACCCGGGCTGCATGCAACATGCATGAGACCGGAACGTGCATTTGTTTGTGGGTCCACGTCAGCTTGCTGTCTCGCGAGACTTCGAAAGGACAGTGATGCATTTTACTATTGATTTTTGACGCCTACACATGACATCTTCCGCCAGCCATGAAACTTTCAGCCTCGCAGACCCGTACGATTTATCCCGTTCACCGTTGTATGTCTGTCGCCCACCTTGCAGGATCCTAGTTTGGGTCAACTCATGACATGGTCGTTGTTATTATAATTCACCGCTTCTCTTACGGTAATAACTTCCTTAGTACTGCACATTGCAGGAGTAGAATTAATTAGCATATCATCCTGGCACCGAGCATAGCTTGATTCCTAGTCGCCGCCGGCATTTAATCGCCGCCGTATTCATTACGGCACGTAGCATAATTACCTAACGTGGTTGAGGTCGGCTTCTCTTCTTCTATTCTCGAAAGTCTTTTTTTTTTGTTGAGACTTTCTTATTGCAAAGAGAGTCGGTAACGTTACGTTATGCTACGCTATGCTGCAGCCCGCAGACAGATAAATGAAACAAAAATGCCTAGGCATGAACTGAAATGATCATGGCAGTTGAATATATGTAGAAAGGAACACGGCAACGGTTAGAATCGACTAAACGCAGCTCATATGACTTTTGACTAGGTAAACGATTAAGGTTTCGCATTTATGTATAACGGCGCACCTAAATAGGTTACGCTCATTGCGAATGTGAAACCGTTGCGAGCATGAAAGCGTTCACATTTCCTCAGTTCACTCTTACATTCGAGACTTACTCCTATGTAAGGAAACATGATCGTCAAAGTGGCTTCGAATAAGTGGCTTATGGATTTGGAATCTATTGCTCACCGTTTGTGTCAAATATCTCTCTCATTTAATTTAATTTAAATATCCAAGAATCTATCTATGCATTTACTACCATGAATTGGCAACTTGCTTGTTGTTATAATCGTGCAATCACGTACAACTTTCATGGCAAAACGACCAGCTCCAATATAAAAAGAACCTCTTGCATCACCCGGCACCAAGGGGTGGATATAATCGCGCTGCCTGTAGCGCCGTGCCGTGCGGTGGTCCGACCACCTGCGGCGTCTGCATGCAGTCAGCAGTCACAGTGCGATGACTGGCAGTCGACTGGCAGCGACACAGCACGGTCACAGCCGAGGGGCTGCTGCATACACCCGCAGTGACTGGCCGGTCGCACAGTAGGCGACACGAACCGGCGCCGCCCCGGTCCCGCGGCGGGCGGTTAGTGGCTGTCTTCAGTGCCGGGGCGACGACCGAGACAGAGGCGCGGCGGTACGGACTATTACACCTCGGTATACGGTCTCGCCGCTCGACATCAGGGCTTATACTGTCGCTGAAAATTGGCCGGCAGCGGAAGTTGTAGCGCTGACGAATGACGATAACTTCAGCGACTGCCGGCTTAGTAGGACTCAGTTCGCTGTTCCACCGGCCTGATAGAACATATTGTGAGCCGTATTCGGTTCGTTAGTGGTCCTGAAATAAAGGCCCTTACATTCAAATGAAACTTCAGCGAAAATGTTTATCAAGACCAGTTTATTTTTTAGCTGAGCAGCTACTGACAAGAAATCCTAGCCTTACCGTACAGCTGACCATGCAGAATGATGATTTATTTATTTATTTATTTTACATCGTGAGCAATTCCGTCAAACCGTCACAAAAAAAAATAGATGTTCGACTCCCGGAAGCTATCAGCTAACTGGAACTGTTGCCGACAAACTAGGCAAATGTCGCGCCGCTGATGCCGAGACGAGCCGCCGCCGCGCCGCCCGTCACCCCGCCTCGCCGGTCCCGCCGCCGAGCCGGGCCGCCGCCCGCCCAGCGGCCACCTGTCGCCGCGCATAGCTTTTTTCTGAGACAGAAGCAATGGGCCGTATCGACGCCGCGAACGGCGTCCCCCTGTGACCCTGCGACCCGGCTGACCTGTCACCTGTTCCGAATGGGGCCGGCGGGGCCCTGGGCCTGGGAACTGGAAGGGTGTGTGAGGGGACGCGGCGTGCCGGCCGCCTTTTTTGTGCTCTGCGTCACGACCCCTGTATCGAGTGACATTTTGGCCACGTATTTGAACCGATACCGGGCTCTGCTCGGTCTCACTTCACTGTTAGTCGCCGACGAGTTCACTTCGCTCTCAAACGTGGACGGCGGCGCTCTACTGCCGCTCACGTCTAACTTTTCTAACAACTGTGTCTGTGCTGTACTGCTGCCATCTCGCCGTCTTCGGTCAATAGCGAACTCTTCTATTTAGAAGACTGTGTTTAAGTGGTGGTGGTGTGAGTGAAACCGAAGTGGCGAGTGGAGGAAAGGAGAGCGGCGCGCAGCTCACAGTTTTCACGGTGGCCGGGTCTATTCACTATTCCTATCAATCCTCTGTCATCCTACATAATATGCATGCCGCGAGGTGTGCTCCTTATGCGCTCTGAGACGGGCGCTGTTGAACGACCCAACATGCATGCCGCGAGGTGTGCACCTTATGCGCTCTGAGACGGGCGCTGTTGCACGACCCAACATGCATGCCGCGGGGTGTGCTCCTTATGCGCTCTGAGACGGGCGCTGTTGAACGACCCAACATGCATGCCGCGAGGTGTGCTCCTTGTGCGCTCTGAGACGGGCGCTGTTGAACCTTGATCCGTAAATTATTCATCTGTGTTTATTTATTTACCGATTAGATACTTCCCTTCTTCATTATTCGTTCACTGCCTCTATTAATCCTACATCCTCTCACAATTTCCCCCGGCCGCCAACCCGAATGCTGCGAGACGTAACAAACACTATACAGTCCACACAAGAAAGCCAGAGACGTCCGCAACATTCGCTGGTCCTCCGGGCCGGATGGTATCAGTTAAGAATGTAAGAAGTCAAGAAGAGAATGTACAATAAGTCGATACTGTGCGTGAACGACCGTCCGTGACGTCGATAAGTTCTGCTCCCACCGTGTCAGTCGAATTGAGAAGCATCGTGGACCGATGGAAGACGCGATGGAGACGGAGCACCAGGAGACGACGCCTGAGAATTGCGAGCCTGCAGGGCAAGAGGAGACAGAGACGGAGAACCGGGAGACGATGCCAGAGAACTGCGACCCTGCAGGAGGAGAGGATGGAGATATCACCGCTGAACGGAAGGCATTAAAGCTTCATCGCGGTCGCAAGGCGGCCATGTTCACACGCTCGTGTAACAGGGCTGACGCGCAAATAGCGCGGCGAGCCAGTGAAGAGGAATTGAAGAAGCGGCTCGAGACGCTGCACACAACGCTGGACGCCGTCATGGAGGCAAATGAGGAGTTTGTAGAGAAGTTGCAAGATGTGAGCGAGCTGGAAGAAGCGGAGGAGTACGCCACAAGAATAACAGCACGGCACGCCGAAACGGTCGCAAGAATTGAAGAGGCGATAACTCGCCCATCAGCGAGCCGCTCAGCGTCACGCACAGGAATGCTCCCCCTACCATCGGTGCAACTTGAGGAAGGAAGCAAAGTGTGCGGGTCTCACATATCACGAGGCTCAAAGGCTTCAGCCACTTTCAAGGAGGCTGAAATCACCGCGGAATTGAAAGCTCTCGAACTAAAGCATCTCAAAGCAAGGAAAGAAAGAGAACGAGAGATGAGAAAACAGGAAGATATGCTGGAAGAAGCAAGGAAAGAAAGAGAACGGGCGACGGAAGAAGCAAGGAAAGAAAGAGAACGAGAGATGAGAAAACAAGAAGATTTGCTGGAAGAAAGGGCTCTAGAAGAGGAAGTGGAACGTGCGACTTTGAAGGCGCGTCTCTGGAGGGCCGCTGGCAACGAGTTGGAGTGGGAACGAAGACACGACTTTGAAGATGAGGTCGCTGTGGAAGTGGCGCCTAGTCGTCAAAACAACACCGGATGCGGCCGCGAGAAGGGAAACGAGCAAGAGCAAGGACGCGTGATCAGTGGCTTGGGAGAGCTCCGGCGCAAGCCGCCGCCACCGAAAGCTACTAGTACCTCTCCGATGGCCGACGAGACGCCGAGAACTGCCAACCAGGACCCAGCCAGCTGGGTGACAGCGTTGGGTTCCGAGCGGCGATGTGACGTCCCGGGTCCATCAGCATTCGTGAAAAGTATACCACGTCTGACACTGCCTACCTTCCGAGGCAGCCCTCAGGAGTGGCCTCGCTGGATCGGCCTATTTAAGGCTCTCGTCCACGACCAGCCGTCTCTATCGGACTCAGAGCGAATGGCTCACTTGCAGAACGCAGTAGAAGGGCCGGCAGCCCAAGCTATTGAAGGCATGCTGTTCAATGGTAGCCTCTACCTGGAAGCTCTGAGAACCCTACAAGAAAGATTTGGGAG